AGGACTTGATTCTCTATAGGATCTACTACAGCATGATGCCCACAGGACTTGATTCTCTAGAGGATCCACTACAGCATGATGCCTGCAGGACTCCACTCTCTAGAGGATCTACTATAACATGATGCCTGCAGGACTCCATTCTCTAGAGGATCTACTATAACATGATGCCCACAGGACTTGATTCCCTTGAGTATCTAAGTGAATTCCAATTCCTTTTATTCCCATTTCTTGAGCTGACCAATATTCTTCAGCTCAAGGCTAGGAGTAAGCAACTGGATCATTCTAGTCTCTACTGCCTGTTTACATATCCCCTGATATAACTCCAGTATTTTATAAATCTTTTTTTGTCATAGTCATTGTGCAATGTTATCATTTTCTTGCCTCACACAGGTGTCCATTTTCAAGCCGGAAATACTGGGGTCAATTTAAACCCTATGGTAAATGAAGAGAGGTCCCTGTAGCTGACTCATCTATCTAGTCTCCCTGTTACTCAGAATATACACAGTCACACACTGAGCAGGTAAGCTCGGACAGGCCGTGGCCTTAAAAACATGGAGGAGGCTGGAAAAACAGAGATAAGAAGAGGCAATTATAAGACTGGAAAATATAGTTTTAGGGCCTTTATGCCCTTGCATTTTGATATGGGCACAAAAAGGGATGCAGCTGAGGCAGGTTGGTTCTCTTTAGCAAAGGGAAGTTTTGGGAGAGGGACTTGTACAGCTAAAAGTGATCAGCTGCCTGCCTGGGAGAGGATGAGGATGCCAGCCATGGAGCAGGTATCTGGACAATGTTCCACATCATCCATTACAGCAGTGGTTCTCAGCCTTCCTAATGCTGTGACTCTTTAATACAGCTCCTCGTGTTGTGGTGACCCCCACGTAAAATTATCTCGTTGCTACTTCATAACTAATTTTGCTACTGTTAGGAATTGTAGTGCAAATACCTGTGTTTTCCAATGCTCTTAGGTGACCCCTGAGAAAGGGATCTTGACCCACAGCTTGAGAACCTCTACATTACAGTCTATCCCCACACTAGCTCCACACAGGATGTTCAAGGAATAACTGCTCCAGGGCTCTGGTTGGTCTCTTTCCCAGGAAAAAAATGATCATGGAGAGGTTCAGGTTACTCCTGGATACTGTGCTCATTTGCTGGAAATATATTTTCCAGTCTTCATCTACTAGAAGTCTCTTTTTCACCTGTATAACATGTCCTTCGGTATCAGCTTTTGTTGGTGGTAGTTCATGCCTATGAGAAAGCCACAGTTTATGAAGGTCAGGGGACTCAATACAGCCACTGTCACTGCAACTGGCTGCAAGGCCACCACTAATGTTTGCTTTCTCCCTCCTGGGGACTTCCTGTTCTGGGCTTCCCTAACTCTTAGCACATCTGGTGTCTCACTTAGCTGGGGAGATGGAACCTCATTCTTGAGTGTGGTGAACTTTGGCCACCTCATCCTTCTTTGAGTTTACCATCTTATCTGTCTCCTGTCACAGCTCATCTGAGAAGTAAAAAGAAATGCACCAGTGCAGAGCCAGGATAAAGAGTGTGGGCTTCCTGCTTCTCCAGGAGCCCTGCCTTCTCCTGATGAACAGGGTTGATTACCCCTATTAGGAAGACAGTGTCTTCATTTGCTACCTGGTCTCCCAGCACGAAGGACCTGAAGCTCCAGAGTGTGTTTGGAGCTGTGTGGAACTCTTTCTGGGTTCTTTAGTGAGGTTTCCACACCATGGGAACCAGGCTCCCCAGACACATTGAGTAGAATCACAGAGTTGAAGATAGAAAATCCCTCAAAGGGAATAAACCCAGCCTCTTTTGCTTCCACACCTTCATTGTTGGCTCATGTGTTCTACTCATCGGAAACACTGCTGAAGGTGTTCGCTTGTTCGAGGTTGTAACACAGTCTACTTAGAGGTACTTAGTATGCGGGAGTCATGGGCTGGATCCACAGACTGGGTCAGCCTTTTTTGCTCCAAAGTGACACTGATGGCTGGGAATTAGGTACCGGTGAGGGGACATGGAATAAGTTTATCTTAGATAGATGATGGTGTCTGCGTTTCAGAAGAGGGCCTTCTGGAGAGAGGCCAAACCTTGGCTGATGCGTAGATTAAGCAGAAGTAGTGTAAGGAAAGTCTCGGGGTTAGGAATCAAATTAAATTCAGGATAGAATGTTTGAATCATAAAAATTTTATTTTGGCTAATTTTGTTGAGTGGAAGAAGAGACAATCATAAGACCAGAAGATGCTAGTATAGGGGTCTTTGCACACGATGTGTTGACCAGCTTTGGGATAGGAATTGCTTCAGGATAAGGTTGTGAGTAGGGCAAGGTGACTCACTTTAGTGACTCACTTCAGGTGGGCCCCTTCACCAATATGTGCACACCCCCACACATATACACATTATTAACAGGAAAACAAATCTACAAAGAATGATAGAAACGTACTGTGAAGTATGCCAATGATTGTATTGCAGTTTCCTCTGATTGAGACCTTTCTTTCCAGAATGAGACCCAGGACGTAAACAAGCTCCTCCTGTCTGAGGAAGTGGAGACTCAGACCTAGGAAGGCCAGCCCCAAGACTGTGGAAGCAGCAAACAATGGTTGAGCAGGCTCTGACCAGCTGAGAGGAGATTTCCCCCAGCTATTGAGCTGCTGGCAGGCCCTCTGGGGTGGGCTTTCAGTGAGGAAACTGCCTTGCAGCTTGCTCTCCTATAAGCAACCCCTCACCCATATCCCTCTATGTGACCCCCATAGAAACTCAATGGTTCACAGCTTTGGTCTGTCATAGGTTCCCTATCTGGGGGTGAGTAGACTTATGCCTGCGTGTGTGCTTGTGAGCATGTGTGCATGTGTGCATGTGTGAGTGTGTGTATGTCTGTGTATTTTGTGTCTATCATGGAAAAGTCTCACACAATATCAGTTTATGTAGATGTTTAAAACTGGATTGCATAAACTGTTCACTTGTATGATCACGGACAGAGTTAGATCAAACCCTGCCGTTTTGTCCCATGGTTTCCATTGCTGTCTTTTCATTTTTTTTTTTAAATGCATGAGAGATGGGAAACAAATGAGGTGAACTCCAATTTCCATGTGGTTATACCTCCTCTCCACAGTACACACAAGTTTAACATAACCTCTGATTTTCAGTGAGGCCGGCTATGATTGCACTTTCTTAGCCTTTTCCCAGAAGAAACTGAATTCTCGAAGTGAAAGTATCAAACCAGAATTTTATTATATATAAACACATTTCTTAACACTGTTCTTTCATTTCTTTCCACCTGGGGACAGGAAGGAGCAGCGCAGCCGGACGAGAGGTCATGTAGGAAACAAGCAATGCGTATGTGTCTGTGTACTTCGGTATTGCTACTGCAGGGGGATACAAAACGAGGCTCGGGAGCAGAACGATGGTTTCCTCGTCCTCTCATTTGGCTCCTCGGCGCTGCCTGAAGTAGCGGTTGTAGGCAGCGCTGTAGCCGTAGAGCATGGCATAGCGTTCGCACAGCTTGTAGTCGTCGCAGGCTTCCCTGTTGATCTCATAGGCAGGCTTGTTGCGTTCCCGGACCCTGGGGAGTGGAGAGGAGAGGCCACGAATGAGGGGCAGACAGATGACGGTGCAGGGAGAAAAAGGAGAGGTTGGGGGATACTAGGTAGAGCCCTTCCCCAGTACTAAGAGTGCTTGGAGGGCAGGCATGGGGGAGAACAGGTTTCCATTTTGATATTATTTTTGTGAATAAAAATAGAAGTTCTCTTTCTGCCGCCCCACTCTTCCTCCCCATCTCCATTCTAGCCCTAAAGCAAAATAGTTTTTCAACGTTCTGTTTTCTCTGCTTGCTTTTCAATTCTTTGAGTTCAAGCCATAGAAATGGCAATAAACGTCTTCCCTACTCAGTTCAAATCTGTCCTAAGACACTGGAAGAATGGCTACGCCCATCAAGTTGGGGTACACACCTCTCTTGGGCTTTAGCTCGCCATCTCTGCTGAGGGGACATAAAGGTGTTGGCATTTCTCCTGTTGATGAAGGGACCTGAAACAGAAAATACATACATGTACTTTTAGGGAAACAGCTGATGAAAATATTTTGGGAATAATCTGAGGGGCACATACATCTGAAACCTCATTAATCTCCTATATATGTAACTAGAGATAGGCAAAAATATAAAAAGAGTATAAAGTAGACTCTATAGACTGTATGAGCAAAGGAAATGAATAACCAATTTAGTGTCTTGGGGACTTGCCACACAGGCCACACCAAATCTTATCTGTTTTGTCTTTGGGCAATCCTTTGCTACTTTTGGTAATACCCACTCAGAGTGTTTTTAATGTTTTTCAAGAGGAATTTTCTTACCATTTGACCCTATAAAGTAGGTCATAGACCACAAGCACAGGAGCAAGTTAAATACTAATGAAAATGAGGAACAATTAGACTCAAGAGTGAGACCTGGTACAGGGGCCGCACTTGTGATCCCAGTGCTTGGGTGATGAGGCAGGAGGATGAGGCGTTTAAGCTTATCCTCAGTTGTGTGCTGAGTTGGGGGCCAGCTGGGCTACCATGGAGTCAAAAACCAAACCCAAACAGAAAAGCAAAACCCTTCAAATTAACCAAGCAAAAATGTGGATACTGTTCTGGTTGTAGCCAGACTTTCCAAGTCTGCATACTCAGGCCCCGAATCTGATGCTGACGCCTGTGGTCTCCCGGCTGGCTGATCCCGTTCTGTGCCTCCTCAGTTCCCATTACTCCTCATTTTCCATTTGTGTGGCTGATGTGATGTGAACTTAAAATTTCCAAGTGTTCTGGATGCAGTTCAATGTCCCATTGCACGGCTTGAAGTTTCAATGTTGCTCACTCGGACAGTTTTAGTCACTGGGTTTAAAAATTCAGCTCTTCCACCCCTCCCTCCCTTCGCTGTCATAGACCTGACTGGCACTTTAGTTTAAAAAATAAAGTGCTAGTCTTTAATGCAAGCAACTGAAATAAGGCAGTCAAGCATTTACTTACTGATTTCATAGGACTCCATGCTTTCGTGAGATTCTGGAATTAGAAGAAAGATTCATTTTAGGCTTATTTGTCACATGTTGTCATTGTTTAAATGTAGAGGTAGAAGGGGAAGGAAGATTTAAAAAGATGGGAACAGTGCATTTAGCCAGGCGATTGTTAAAGAAACTCCGATACTATAGAAATCGTGAGTTTTTTCTATCCTTGCCTTGGGCATCTCCATCTTGTGCATCTTTCTGATATATTCAGGGGCCGGTTTGAGAACAGAGTCAAGGAAGTTAAAGGTGGGTACGCAGCAGCCAGGCTTCTCCAGGTAGGGCGCTCCAGGGTGGTTATTGAGCCGCATGACCCAGACAGTTTCTAAGAGGGTTCGGAGCGGCTCTTAAGAATGGGGATTAAATTGGCAGCCTCAGAAACCACTGGCTCCCTCTCACAGCTCAAACCAGGCACAAAGCCAGGGTGGAGAAGACGTCAAAGTGAACGATTCTGCTTTCTAAGTCTCTCTTGAACACAGCGGGCAAAGTGGGAATAGGAGACTGTGTTTGTAAGTGTCTGCCTGCCTGAAAAGTGAGAAAAGGAGGTGAGGAAATCAAAACCGTACACAGGAAGTTTATGAATAATTCAAAAGCTGAGAAGCATAACATTAGAGCTGCTCATACAGTTTAGGTTTATAAACAACTAAATATGGTCAACACAATTTAAGCACAATGATGTAAATAATTAGGCTTCAAACCTGTGAACAAATTCAGATGACTGAACAACATATAGGTAGCAGAAAAAAAAGTATGCTTTGTAAACAGTTATGAAATTGGTGCTTTCCTAAAATTCAGCTGTAAAGTTTCTTTTAAAAATGAATTCACTGAATAAATGCTCTAAGCTCATGGTATTTTCTGTCCCTAAAAGGGCTATCTCTAGCTAATACTTCCCATGAAAATGTATTCTCTTAAAGTAAACAATTCACCAAATATTCTTAACCCGTCAACACTCATGTCTGACTAAGCGTCCTTAAAGATAAGACTATAGGGGTTGGGAATTGGCACATTTTTGAAATATCTTTGTCACCCGGTATGTAGATTCATCCCTGCAAGAACTTGCCTGTTATAGAGCTCACATGCGTTGGGATGTTTAGCATATAAAACAGATGCGATGGAGACAGCGTTCGTGGTACTCTGGGTTATAACAGAGAAAGGGGAAAGAAGAAGATAGGGGAGAATGTAGAAGTGAAGGGGAGCCAGAGGCAGGAAAAGAAAACCCCACCGACAGCAGGGAGAGATCTCACCATAGCACAGGGCTGCCACAGCCAGTGCAGCCAGAATGGCCAGAGGGAGCAGGCTCTTCATGGTGTCTCGGGTGTCCCGTGAGTCTGCCTCTGTGTCTGGTGCAGCAGCAGAGGGGGAGGCTCCTGCATGCTGCTGGAAAGGCTGAGCTGTTTTTATAGGAACTTGAGCAGCCGAAGGGGGAGGAACCAGCAGCAAGGGGCTGGGAAAGGTGGGATGGCTTGGCACCAAACTTGCCTTGGGACTTCTCCCAAGTACTCATTCCTTCCAGATAGTATCGACACAGCGTGGGCAGTTTCCCCTCACTCCTGGTCCTGGCTGTGTGTGTGTGTGTGTGTGAGCAGGATGCTGTCCTGGTGCAGAAGTTGTGGCCACCCTATGTTTTCGAGCCAGATCCGGGCACATGTCCATGGAGAGGGCAGTTACCACAAACACAGGTTTGCCTTTCGAATTCCTCCTCTGATCTACTTGCTGGCCCTGACCGCTGGCCACTGGGCTTGATCAGCAGACAGAGATGTAGTGTTCTCTTTGCTACCCAGCTGGATGGAGGAGAGGTCCGGGGGAGAAAGGTTCCCCACTCTTTATGCTGTGAGAGCTTAGACATCCTGGTGATAGGCACTTTATGGAGTTTTTCCAGGGTTTCAGTGGGGTAAAGATACGGGTACCCCAGTTTTGTTCATTAGCTACAAAGTAACTCAATTATCTAATTTTGTGATGTTAGACTAGTCTTTTGCCCTAATGCTTTCTCAGATGAATGCTACTGGTTAGGGATGTGTCAGGGATGAAGATACTCACTGCTCACGTTCTCACAGCACTGCCTTGCTGCTGAGCCAATGTGATAGGATTTTCATGGGCAGGATAGGGTACATGATACTGTGCTTAGGTGCTGTGTGCTAGCTACAGACCAGCACAGCATCCCATAGGAGTCAGAAATAGCTCTGGCCTATGTTCTCTACCCTTGACTGTAATGTACCTTCCCATGCAGGTTTTCACGTCTGTATTTCACTGTACCATAAGGTCTGGGGGCTGTTGCTTATCTAACAGGAGAATTTCAATATGGTGCCTCTGGCTATCTGAAGGATCCCTTTCTCTCCCTCAGGAAACTTTTCTACCCCATGGTGTCTTGTCTGCTTGGAATTCCATGAGTCTTCTTTGTGGTCTCAGAAGCACACTACAGAAGATCTGAGGCCTCAGGACCTTGAGCTTGGCATGAAACAGCAGGGAGACAGGGCTGTGGCCTGCTGGACTTTCTGTCTTACTGGGACACTACTGTCCCTCCACCCTGGGAAAGGTCGCTACAGATGCTGCAGGATTCCATTAGACAACCTGTAAGATTGGTGAGCCCAAGAACCAATAAACCTCTGCCTTCCCCTTTAGTTAAAAAAGGAAGTGTTTATGGGCTGCAGAGGTAGACGAGCAGTTCAGGGGACTGCTGCTCTTGCAGTGGGCTGGGGTTCATTTCCCAGCACCCACATTGGGTGTCTCATGACTGCCTGTAACGACAGATCCAAGGACTCTGATGGCCTCTTCTGGTTTCTTTGGGGACCTACACACATGTGCGCGCGCGCGCGCACACACACACACATCTTTATAGTCTTAAAACATATGTTTTTTGTTTGTTTTTGTTTTGCTTTTGTATCTATCTATCATCTATCTATCTATCTATCTATCTATCTATCTATCTATCTATCTATCTATCTATCTATCTATCTATTTATAATCTATTTATTTGAGACAGGGTCTCACTATGTAGCTCTATCTGTCTTGGAATTCACAATGTACACCAGACTGGCCTTGAATTCATAGAGATCCACCTGCCAAAGCCAAGTTCTGGGCTTCGTGTGTGTGTGTGTGTGTGTGTGTGTGTGTGTGTGTGTGTGTGTGTATGTGTGTGTGTGCATGTGTCGTGTATCTGTGAAGATCAGAGGGCAGCTTTAGCAGCTGGTTCTCACCTTTCACCTTGTTTGAGGCGGGGAATCTAGCGAGCTCTCTGGTGATTGGATCTTCCTCTTCCATACTCCCACAGGAGTGTTGGGATTGCAGATGCCGGTGGGTTCTGGGGATTGAACTCATGTTGTCAGGTTGTGTGGCTAGCACCTTTCCCCACTGAGCTACCTCTCTGGTCCCATATTGGGCCCCTTAGAACAATGGAGTCGTGAATGCCCCTGCTGTCACTTCTGCACAATGATCAGATCAAGGCAATTGGGGAAGTTCTGGCTCCGCGCGCACTCAGCTCCACGGCCCCCCTCTGTCCAGATGGCAGCGGTGCTCTCCCGGCCCTCTCACATTCCCGGAAAACAACACATGTGGTGGTAATCTAATTGTATTGAAATATTATTTTGATTTGTACTGAAATATTAATTTGATTGTATGTTAATAAATAAAGTTGTCTGGGGGTCAGAGCTATTAGAGCCATAGCAAGAGTGTGGCGGTGGTGGCACACGCCTTTAATCCCATAGATATCTGTGTGTTCAGGGTCAGAGCTATTAGAGCCATAGCAAGAGTGTGGCGGTGGTGGCACACGCCTTTAATCCCATAAGATCTCTGTGTGTTCAGGGATACAGCCAGCATTGGAGACATATGCCTTTAAGACCTAGGGGGCTGTACATTCAGACAGTGACGAGGCAGTCATGTGTTTGGGTTTACAACCAATGAGAAGGCAGAACAACATACTTTAAAAATACGAACCGAGAGGAAGTAGGTCTCTTTTCGCGAAGCTGGGACAGCAGGAGGAAGGGTGAGATTTTAGCTCTGAGCTCTGACCTCTCGGCTTTCTCTTTTACATTGTTTCTGTGTTTCTTATTTAATAAGACGGTTGGTTACATCTACAAACACACCCTTTCCAACCCAGCTTTTCAACTTTTATTACAAGTGTTTTAGCGCTGCTGCCGCTAGATCCCTCAGGCTCGCCAGCTTCTCTTCTCACAGTCTGGGATTTTGCAAGGTCAGTAACTTTTCTTTTTTCTTCTCATTATTCATCTATTTCTGAGTTTCCAATGGTAAACACCACTTACAAGCCACTCATAAAAACCATTAATGTTTTCAAATTCAGACTCTGCATTTCCTGCTCTAGTATCATTCATTCCCTGTCCAAATCTAATTTTGTAGACATCAACTCTAATCATGTGATCTTCCCATTCGTTCCTTTGAGGTGCTGGAACTCTAATGTCGGGCTGGCCTTATGCTCACTAGGCAAGGCAAGTCCTCTGCCATTGAGCTGTATCATATATATATATATATATATATATATATATATATATATATATATACCATATATATATGTATAGTGTGTGTGTGTGTGTGTGTGTGTGTGTGTGTGTGTCTTTGGAGTTTATGGTGAGTTTAAGATAATTCGCGTTATAGAGATGAAAACCCCTAAGATACTCTTGGAATGTGAGATATGCTAAAAATAGACACAAGGAAGACAAAGAAGCTACTTTGGTTATTGATAGGATGGTTTGAGACGATAAATTATCACTTGAGAATCACTGGGAGTTATTGGAAGTTTCATCATTCATTTTGGCTGACAATGCATTTTCCTAACAGCTAACTTATAAATTCTGAATCATCTGAAGTTCGAACTTATGTTTGTATGTAAAGGATTATGGCAGACATCCAGAGAGCCATTTCTCCTTCACCAAAGAGAAGTGCTGCTTAGTGGAAAGAATGCTACAACACTCTCAGGAGTGTCTGCAAAAGTGTAAGGCAGCCACACAGGGCTAGTTTTCTTAGTTTACAGAATTTTCTTGAGCAAGGCTGGCAGGGTGGTAACCAGGCAGCAGAGGTCACAGAAGAATACAAGATCTCCAAACCTCACTCTCAGGAGGAAGACAGAACATTATGGTTTAGCCAAATATCATTTGCCCATGCATCCATCCATCCATCCATGCATCCATCCATCCATCCATCCATCTACACCCACCTACCACCCATCCAATGTATTGAGTACTTTTCAATGTATAATTCTAGGATGGAAATACAGGGAAGGGGAAAAATACTGCGATGCTTCCTATCCTTATGTATTCAGGAGCTGTCAGAGTACAGATTTAGTGTGTCCTTTTATTTAAAGCCTCGTTTGCAGCCGGATGGCCTCAGAGAAGAACATGTGACCAGCATGGCTTGTCGAGGGCTAACCTTTTCTATGGCACCCAGGTGCATCTCTGTATCCAGAGCAGCAAGATCAGGGAGAGAAAGGAAGAAAGTTGCCAGCAACTACTGTGGGGAAATGCTTTCCAGAAAAGCACATTGGCAGGTATTGGCAAAGAGTTATCCCATCTTTAGTATTTATGAAGCTATAATAATGACACAGGAATTACAGTTATATTTTCTGTACCAACCCTGAACCTGCTCTTCTTGCCTATCCATTTCTAAAAAGTCTTTTTTCCAGATGGCTAAGCATTTTGTATCTGAGAAGTTTTCCTGGTCCAAGCAAAATAAAATTAAAGAAATAATCTTGCTGTCCCATGAGATTCAACTTTATTTGCAGAATATTGGTTTTATGAGTACATTTTTTTTGTGGCAGAACAAAACTATTATTCTTTCCAGTAAAGGAAAAAGCAACTGAGAAGAGAGCAAGTGGGAGCCCTGAAGATGAAAACAGAAACCACTCTTGGGGATGTTAGAAGACAATGAACTGAGAAACAGAAAGGAGCCCAACATTATGGACTCTTAAATCTATTCTTTTAATGTAGTGGTTCTCAACCTTCCTAATGCTGAGACACTTTAATATAGCTCCTCATGTTGTGGTGAGCCCCAACCATAAAGTTATTTTCATCGCTACTTTATAATTGTAATTTTGCTGTTATGAATCATAATGTAAATATCTGTGTTTTCCAATGGTTTTAGATGACCTCCTTCAAAGGGTCATTAGACCCCCAAAGGGGTCATGACCCCCAGGTTGAGAACTTCTGTTTTAACAGCCGTTTCTTGAATGGATTCTATGTCCCTGACTTCATAATTGACTTGGTTTTCTAGACGTAGAATCATTTACTTTTCTTGATTTGTCTAAGCTGAACTAAGTGAGAAGACGCAGCTGTCAGTCTCAGGCAGGGGTGGGTATGTGAGCGGCCACGGGCAGGAGTTTCCAGGGCAACGCTAAAGCAATGGAGCTGCCGTTTGGGACAGCTGTACCTTTTCTGTACTCTGTAAACCATGT